CCTTCGTAGTATCTTCGTAGATCGTTTTCCACACGCCACCGCTTTGACTTCGTCGTCGGTCCGAATTTCCATAGTTTCTTGAGTGTGGTTCCGCGAACCACTCCAACAAGAAGGACCCCCGCGGGTCCCCCACGTCACGACCTAGGAATTCCCCGCGCGGGCCCCCCGAATCGCGCGCTAGAAGGACCCCCGCGGGTCCCCCTCGTCGCGACCTAGGAAGGCCCCTGCGGGCCCCTTGAATCGCGTCTTAAAAGGGCGCCCCGCCACCCCGCAGTCCTCTCCGTCGCGTCCCCTCCCCGTCGCCTCCCCTTCCCCTCCCCGTCGCGTCGCCTCCCGTTTCCCTCCCCGTCGCGTCCCCTCCGCGTCGCCTCCCCATCGCGTCCCCTTCCTGTCGCCTCCCCTTCCCATCCTCGTCGCGTCGCCTCCCCTTTCCCTCCCCGTCGCGTCCCCTTCGTCTCCCGTCGTGTCCCCTCTCCGTCGCGTCCCCTTCCCTTCCCCGTCTCGTCGCCCTTCGCGTCGCGTCCCCGTCGCCCCCCGCCCCCTTCAAGTCGCCTCCTCGTCCCCTGTACCCGCCGCCCCACCCTGTACTTGCCACCCCACCCTGGGCTCGCCGCCCCACCCTGTACCCGCTGCCCTAACCTACATCCAGAACCGCCCAGAACCGCCCAGAACCGCCCAGAACCGCCCAGAACCGCCCAGGATCGCCCGGGACCGCCCAGAACCGCCTAGAACCGCCCATAACCGCCCAGAACCGCCCAGTACCGCCCAGAACCGCCTAGGACCGCCCAGAACCGCCCAGAACCAACCAGAACCGTCCAGAACCGCCCAGAACCGCCCTGAACCGCCCTGAACCGCCCTGAACCGCTCCCCACCGCTCTAGACCTGCCAGAACCAGCAGCAGCTTAGGCTGCCGCAAGAACCAGCTGAAGCTTAGGCTGCCGCCAGAACCAGCAGCAGCTTGGGCTGCCCCCAGCAGAACCAGCACCAGCATAACCTGCCCCCAGCAGCACCAGCAGCAGCATAGGCTTCCCCCAGCAGAACCAGCAGCAGCATAGACTGCCCCCAGCAGAACCAGCAGCAGCATAGGCTGCCCCCAGCAGAACCAGCGGCAGCATAGGCTGCCCCCAGCAGAACCAGCAGCAGCATAGGCTGCCCCTCAGCAAAACCAGCAGCAGCATAGGCTGCCCCCAGCAGAACCAGCAGCAGCATAGGCTGCCCCCAGCAGAACCAGCAGCAACATAGGCTGCCCCTCAGCAGAACCAGCAGCAGCATAGGCTGCCCCCAGCAGAACCAGCAGCAGCATTGGCTGCCCCCTGCAGCACCAGCAGCTGCATAGGTTGCCCCCAGGAGAACCAGCAGTAGCATAGACTGTAGCGAGCAACCGCTCCTAGCCGTCTCTAGTGTCTACCATAACGTGTGCTAGAGTTCTGCAGCAGCAGCAGGGTCTGCCGCAGCGACAGCAGCTACAGCACTCCCCGCAGTAGGGACCTGAGGGTCCTAGGAGTACCGGCCGCAGCAGCGGCTCAGCCAAGTGGGCGCGACGTCGGTCCCTGCGGGTGCTGGCACCACCTGCTGGAGTCCTGACCACTCTGCGTCCCGCTGCTACCGTCGCCTCGACGACCTCCACCGTGAGCGTTTTGGTCCTCACGCTATTACACCGTACTGGCCCTCGCGTCTTCGCGAGCGCACTGCTTCACCAGTTGAGTCTCAACTACCTGGTCTATGACCTTTTCCCGCTGCACGACTAGAGACCAGTGTTTCCAGTCTTGGTGCGTATGTAGTTTCCAGTCCTGGAGCCTCTGAGGGTCTTTGTGTGGGAGCTGCAGCTACCACTAGTCTAGCACCAGCCTTTGTCGCTGGCTCGGGTGCGACCTCACAGCCTGCACAGCTTTCCTTCACCCTAGACTCTGGAGCGTCCAACTGTTCTTTCGCGACTGTACTGACCTCACGCAACTGCGCACTCTAGTCAGTGTCGCCTTGGCTGACCCCTCCGTGGGACATGTAGTTGCCCACAGCACCACCACTCTCCCGTGTCCGGCGGCTCTTTCTGGGTTTCTCACAAGTTACTACACCTCCTCGTTCTCCAGGAACCTGGTGGGTGTCAGTCACCTCCATGACCTAGGTGTAGTCACTACTTTCCCACTGGACGAGCCTGTTGCCTCCCGCACAGTCAGTGCCACTGGGGCGCTTCTGGCTACTTTTCACACGGAGCGGGGCTCTGGTCTGTACTCACTACACACTGGGTCCCACCACACTGGGTCAGGTCAGGTCAGGTCAGGTCAGGTCAGGTCAGGTCAGGTCAGGTCAGGTAGCTACTGTGTCGTGCGACTGTCGGTCCCTCACCCACCCGTCGGTCCTCTGGCACCACCGTCTAGGCCACCCGTTCTTCCCACGTCTCAATAGGATGGTACGTCACCGTCTGGTCTCAGGTCTCCCAGAGTCGCTTGTTCCGCTTCCTCGCTCGAGCCACGGCGGACGAACAGGGACGAATCGGCAGACGACGGAAAGAAGTCAAGCGTTGCAAGAGTCGTACGTAGTGTATCTGTCAGAATAGTGAAGGAAGGAATGATTGATTGAGCAAGCAGTTGGGTACAAGTAGGAAACCTAGAAGTGTTGTACCCTATATGAACTACCCCACTACAGCCTACACAGACGAATCCGTAAACTCCCTCGATAGTGGGGTCTGTGATGCCTACCCCTCCTAGCGACGACGGCAGTGATGCCTGTGCCCAGACTCGTGCTTGCTCGACCCTACTCGATGGAAAACGGATGTCGCATGAGGTGAGTAACGCGGTCAGAAGGTCACGACCCCACTGGGCCCAGGTGTCTCGAGGGAGGAGGTGGATGGGGGTCGTCCTGGTGAGGTAGGCGACACGCCTTGAGATGCAGCGACTGATCAGTAACGAGGCTACTTGGGGGTCGGCCCGCTCGATGAGAGGTAAGGGTTTCGCCATTTCTTCCAGCTGGCCCGCTAGAAATTTCGCTGCTCTGTTGGTCGGCCCGATGTAACTGCCGAGCAGGCAGACCCCATCGGCTTTGAACGGCACTCCCGGGGGTAATTGTGTTTCGTCCGCCTCAGCCTTGCTCCATGCCGCGCATTTCTGTGGGTTATGCGTCAGACCCAGCTGCTGTAACTTGGTTGTGAAGAAATTAAACGCAGCTACAGTAGCACGTTGATCGCCCACAAAAGTCACGTCGTCTGCATACGCCAAACACAGCACGTCCGTGTGGGCCTCGGCTGTTTCGCGGAGTGTCGTGTGGATCCCCGCTGCAAATAATAATGGGCCTAAAGGATCCCCTTGTCGGACACCCCGTTCGCTTGTCAGGGGTTCGCTCCCAAAACTGACGTCCAGGTGTAACTGCGACGGGTTACCGTAAGTCAGCTTCACAAAGGGTTGCAGCGGCGAAAGGCTGGGCTCCTGTAACGCGTTCGCGATGGCCTGTCGCGAAATACTGTTAAAGGCGTTTGCGATGTCGGCTTGCAGCACCAGGCTGTTGGGGTGTGCGTCTAGAAAAGCCCTTGCCGCGTGGATCACCGCCTCGGCTCCACCTGGCACTGCTACACCGAACTGTAGTGGTAAGAAATGCTCGCGGGCAGCATCGCCCATGACCGCCAGTGCAGCTTTAGCAGTCAATCGGGTCAGACATT